GAACCATCGACCCTGTAACAACCGTAAAGATCGACCTCTGAGTGGTCAGAACAGGAATATTGTGAGGCAGATTGCAAGGTATAAGGAAAAGGGAGAAGTAATGAAATAATTTGAACTTCTCGACCTCGATTATTTAATTTCGGTTGTTCCCTTAACTAGAGAAATGTTCTAAGAACTGAGCAAATTTAATAAAACTAAATTTCTTCTGCTGATCGTAACTGAGCAGATATAATTGAGTTCCGTATTTGAGAAAAGCTGGAAATCTGACGACGAATCTCTGTGATTCGGTAAGAAGAAGAAGGCCAAGGAGAAATACGTCACTGCAATGACCCAGTACTGGTAGTGAGCTGGAAGTGACTCAGGAAACTAGTAAAGCTGGTTTCTGTGTATTGGTGATTTTGTCGATTGGGTGATGAGAACTTAATTGTGTTTTACGACGGTTCGAATTGTTCGGCTGAAATTGACTTTGATAACCACTTAGTCAATCGTGGAAACTGGACAAAGATTATTTTCCAGATTCTACTCGTTACCATGAAATTTGATCAATTTTGTTCAAATCACACTTTGCTAGATATGTTGCTCGTACTTTAGTGGTTCCAGTGCTCGTCCAACAATCACAAGGTTGCCAGATCGATCCTGAAGCTAGCTAGCTTTTTGATGGTTCAAAACTTGACCCAGCTGTCCCTGATTATTGGGCTTTAAAAATGATCATGACTAATAATACAGCTGACCTTAGATCATCTCATACCATTATACGCTCATATCTGAGTTAAAGAATCTCAAATATGAGATTCACTCATATTTGAGTTAAAATACACACAAAGGTGGTGTCCCAATCTGAATTGATAGTGATAGTGATACTAATATGTAGGAAGTTATAGAATGCAGAATTAGCTATACCCCCCCCCCCCCCCAAGGTACAAAGGCCTTACAATTATCAACCAGCTACCATGGTTTGACGGTAGAATGTGATTTCAAATGTTTTGTACGAAAAAAAAAATCATGGATAAAGGACAAAGATGAACGCTCAGTGCCCAGATCAAATCCCTAAAATCAGAAAACAAGAATATTCCAAGGACGACCGCTATCTTATCCGTCTTGTAAATGGACCCGGGTGACAAATTACAAACGCAGAACCACCTGCGAGACAAGGAGACTAATTGCAACACGACTAGTAATAAACTGAAAGGGAAGACAAGCGCAAGGATTTCTGCCTGAGTGCTTTGCTCTTTCTCTTTCACTATCAGCGGCGACAACATTGTAACGACAATCTAAATGCGCCAAGTCCCTGCGGTGTAGACTTGGAGAAAATCGAAAGCAAAACTAGGATTACCTTGTAAATTACGCCGAATCTCACTTATGAGAAGATTGCACGTATAACTTTACTTTCGTGAGTCAGGTTTTGATTTCCCAAACATTTTCAAGAGGGGTTAACGAATTGGTTCTTCATTTTTGGTTTCAACTTATTTAACAGTTTCAATAGTTCGCTCCTTTCACTCTACCCGATTTCGCTTGTCCGAGTAAAAATCGGACGAGCAAATATCGACCATTGTATGTACCCTTTCACATTACCCGATCACCAATCGTGTCGAATTGTTATCCATAGCAAACAATATCTTCCCCAGAACTGGTTAAGAACCATGTTCTTTGGGAAGTGGGTGGGAGTCTGATTTTAAAGCACTCTATAATACAACTTCGATCTCTTTTTTAGTAAGAGAGTGGCCACTATCTATCAAAGTTTGTTCCAAAATTTGCCTTCATTTGCCACCATCAAATGAAGGTTTAGTAAACAAATGTAACACACTAGGCCTAAACTAACTCAACCTAGCCTATCTTAACCCTAACCAAATCTGACCTAACCTAGCACAATGCAAATGTTTATAGTGACAGTCCTCGTCTTGAAAAGACCCTACAACTGAATAAAACAGTATAACGTAACTCAAAAGGCAAAATACAATTTATGAACAACATAGACTACCCAATATGTTGCAATCAAATAACCACTATTGTTCAGCGTCTCTTGGACAAAGGTATTGGATTGTTGGATTAATCCAAATCGGTTTTATCGCCGAAGATTGAGTCATAGTCTATGTATGGAGTTACTGTCGCCGCCCCCAGTATCCGCCATACGCCATACGCCATGTGTCTCACATATTCCCATGTTCTCTAGTTCTGTCCTTGGGTTCATTCGCTATTTACATACGAAGCGTGGCTCGTCTCGTCTTAGTTTTATTGCAATTGAGCACCGAACACCGCCTAATACGGGGATATTGAACATCCTAGAGTGGTGAACGTAAAACGGATTTTCTCCCGTGGCAATTGTCATGATAATAGTTCAATGGTCTACGATGTTGAGTTGGGTTTGATAACGAAGAACATTGACACTAAGACGTGGATTTATTTTAGGTAGTGTTAATTGTAGCTATTGTAGTTAGTGACAGACTGCAAACGCTAATAGATCGTGTACGGATATATCGAAGTTGCTGTTGTCATCAGGTGCGCGTAGCAGTGGTATATGGTATATCTATCACAATACACTTAATTACTCAATTTCCATTGCGTCAATAATATTGTATATACACTCAATGAAGGGATATTAAGAAAGATAACGCGAATAAAAGAGTAGTACTTGCTGGACTATTCAGCGACGGTGAAAGAGTTTGGAACAGCTGATTTGTAAGGTATAACGGCAAATAATGTGATTACTTAGTTGCTCTCAACAACATGATTTTGCTTAAGTATAATGATAAGTAATCAAGCAATTTTATTTTATTTGCACCTAGCAGCATTGATTTTTTGATCATGATGGTTTGATGATCACAAGAATCAACCAACACAAATTATGATACTCTCCAATTGTTCATTTCCCATATACTGCACAATGAAAATAGCAACTCACTACTATATTCAAAATACAGATCTTCCGAGGTTCAAAAATAAAGATGAACTTATCTGAAAGTATTCTTGAACATCCTGGGGAGAATCTAATTTATGTTTTTTTTTATACATTGGAATTTTTCAAAAATTTTCGTAAGGGCTATTCCCGCTCCTTGAAGCTTACAGACCAGTTCACCAGTAGATGGAGGGTCACGAGACAGGTTCCATCTTACAGAATATAGCGACAACCTTTTGTTTGCATCAATCGATAGACACATCTGGATCCAGAAAAAATCTCACCTGTAACGGAACCAGCGACCTTCAGATTTGACGGCGATCCTTGTAATCACTTAGATACCCAGACGATTAATAAATTGTTGAACTTTGTTAAAAACCAAAGCATTAACAACTATCAATGCAGCGAAGGCGAGAGCTCGACGATCACCCACGAGGAGATTCATCTCGATTCATGCAAGTAGGAGATAAAAAGCGGAGGAAATGGCTTGCAATTACGTCGGTGTTTTAGCATTCCGGGGAAGGAAGAAGAAGAAGGCACATCAGGTTGAGGCCTTGACCTTTCTCCAAGGTCAAGCAAGCTTCGCTCGCTGTGGAAACTATAAAAACGACCGCAAGTCTTCGCCCCGCTTTGTTGGAATTCCTTCAGAGATTTTTAAAACTCTGCTAGATTGCTAACATTTACATTTAAATATCATTGGTGGGTAGTTATTTCTACAATCTTCTACCATCCCTAGTGAATTAATTTAAAAACTGCCATTAATTTTAAATGGATTTACTGTAATCCGATATGTCTCAAATATTCTTCGTATGACGACACGAAGCTCTCATGAAAGTTTTAGCACATCAGAAATATTACAAGACTTCAGATCAGACCTATAGAATTTCATTACTAAAGAGCGTAAAAGTGATCTACTCCACCAACCGTTGACCACCCTTAAAAGGTTAGTAGATGTTTTGCCACAATGACCTCATCAGCTAGTAGATGAGAAGTTCACTCGTCAACTTTGGTTTCTTCTTTGCCTTTTTGACATTTGACCAGCTGATGAAGCCTCCAATGTGGCAAAACATGTACTAACCTTTACTTAGAGCTGGCCGACGGTTTGTAAGAGCTCAAACAATACAGCTTGAGAACTTCATAGGCACCAAACACAAAGATTTGAAAGAAACTCTAGATAAAGAATTTCCATGTTCACCTAGGTGTATGACGTGACCACCTACTACATTCCACGAAAAAAAAACAGTTTTCCCATACAAAATCTTTATCCAGGAATTCACAAAGTAACAAATCTTCACAGCTATATTCCCACATACATGATACAATGTAATTCCCAGCGAGTCTGTAGGTTGGCCAATAAAGTGTCTTCGCTGCACCAGGTACACCGTACACCACCCCGCCATCTGCTGGTTAGGCTCACCACTCGCACTGATGTTGTTTTATGGGAAATAAACTCAGTCTGGGCTATGATTTATCTGCTCATTGTTCCTGGAGAAGCAGCGATCTCAAGTCTGCGCGAGGTCGTCTGGTAACAAGGAGTTCTATACCTGCAGTTGATCCAAGACGATATCTAGTTGAACAAGTTGCTCATGTAGGTTTCGTACTTGGTTTGGTGAATTCTTATCAAACATTCTAGAGAAAAGACGGGTTTGAAGTATTGCTAAATTACCTCCTAAAGTTAGTCATAGTCATGAACTTCAGTATCCAACAGTCAACGGTCATACGTTAGGATTCTTACCATTGCTAAGCAATTTTAGGCAAGAGTACAGTGTACTAAAATAACACTTTTAAGGGAAGCGGTCCAAGCCCATGTGTCGTGGATGTACCGGGAATCAAATCGTACCTCCCGCACAATGTTGGAAACGTTAGCCACTTGGCCAGCACTTGACCTTTATTCTATTTCATAAATAGAAAATAGATGTTACGGTGCACTTGTTTGGTGGTGATTTAACCAACTATGTGTATATTTGATACCAGAGAGAGAACTCTTGGTTCCAACCAAAATTTGACAATTTTCTCCTCATCTGAGCACCTTCTATACTATTTAGCGTACATTTTTTAAGATTATTGAAAAAAAGTAATTGTTGACTGAAACAATTTTTTCTTTCAGATCTCTGCTTTTCGAGGATTTCATTGTAAGTAAAGCATGTATATTAATTATCATAAACTATAATTTTGTTTATTCCATAAAGCGTTTGCTATTTAGTAAAAACATTGTTTTTGTTCCTCCTAGCAACACACCTAAGTGCATATAAAGAAAAATTATTTCAAAGTAACGTGGATCTAAGTTCCATTGTTCTCTCATAATAAATCAGTTTATATAATTCGTTTATGTAACGGGGTGCCTCTATATAAAAACTCTTTAATTTTCGTGTATATATATTTTTTCATTCCAAATTCTTATTCATTCGCTCCTTACACTCCTTCATCCATGTTAATATTTGTTCCTATTTATAGTTTCGTTCTTGTGGCATTTTGATAGAAGAAATAAAATGTAGATTTTTAGTGACCATCGTATACTGTACTATTAACATTTGATAAAAAAACACTTTTCTCTTTCCCGTAGAAGTTAACCTAAGTTCTGGTTTAATCTAATTTTTGGTATAGCGAAAACATATGACTTAATAGTGGAAATATCTATTCACTCAGACTGCAGGTTTGCTGCGGTGCGGGTACTGTATTTATTTATTTGACACTTTTGTTTTCACCAACGTTCCTTACACCGTGATCACTAAAATTAAAAATACGACCGTTATGTGACCTGGGGAGGCGATAACTCCTAAAAAGCCTGGGAGACTGCTACTGCAATCGTGGGAATCTGCAACAATTAGCCTTTCAGAGAACCGATGATGGAATGTCGCCATCTTCCAGGAGGAAGTCTGATCACCGGTTATCTAGTCTGGTATCATTTCATTTCATTCCATTCATAACTGCATTGCGTCAATGAAGAGTTGTGCAATGAAGTGTTCTTGTTTACAAACTTTACTTGGTCAAAAGGCCATTCTGCGCCACTTCTATGTGTTTCGAGTCAACTACATGTAAGGAAATGCTAATATCAAATGTTTAAGAGTGCATTTGTGGTTACTGCGTGTTAACTTTTGTGTATTAAATTACATATATAAAATAATTATTTCAATTATATCAATCATCGATTATTTAAGATGGGAACCCCACTATGTGCGTATTTTAACCCAAATATGAGTGAAGGATGATTCTTCATTCTTTACCAACAGACAACCCATTTCACAAGTTTACAATGATGTTTTGCTGTGTGACTGATAGTGATAGAGAATCTTAAATGTAGGAATTCAAAAAAAAACTTACTCTAACAAAACAAGAAATAATAAAATTTACAACAAAAATTAACATTCAATTTGACAACATAAGCAGTGAAATTCAAATATCTCATTAATAGATTGTGCAGAGCTGTGTCAGCATTATATCCCATAAACGTGGAAGTAAAAGCAACTATGGAATAGCTACCTATATTAATATCTTTTAAACTTTAAAAGTAAACTATTTAGACTGATTTTGTGTAATCGAAGCACATTTTAACTTTTGTTTGTACCTATTAACCTTCCCTTGACATTTTACGTTGCCCCCAGTGCATCACACAGTCACAGTCCAGTTCCCCCAGTGCATTGTCACAGTCTCTAAAAATCCTATATAAAAACAAACCAGAACAACTAGAGTGTCAAAAAGTCATTCAAGCTCCTAAATATGAAAATCACAAGACATTTCGCTAGGATTTTAAAAGTTTTGACATAACGTGTAATAGCTTCCCGTGTTAATTAAAAATATTTAAGTTCAAAAGGGAAGTGTTATGTGTTATGATACGAGTTTTTTATTCGTCGATTTTGTTGGTTCACATCTATATTTAGAACAAATTAATAATTTGTTTAACTACAGTAGTTTAGGGGGTTTGGGACAGAAAAGCTCATGATGAAACAATTTGATACATCACACTGATTGGATTCGAAAACAGTCAAGAAGCATTTACAGAGATAGGCCTAATCAACAGCAAGTTTACGTTGTTTACGTTGCTTGTGAACGTTTTATTACGTTAGTCCATTAGTGTTTGTTCTTCTGTATGTTATCTTTCTCTATCAATCTAAGTGATTATTGTACAAACAGGCATGAAGATTTTTCCTGTGCAATTGCTGACAAACTCCTTGAAAACCTAAATTGGCCTATTCCTCATGGTTGGTTCCCTATATATCTACATAAGGATCTATGTTTCAAACAGTTTGCAAAAGTCTTACAGAGGGAATCTGAACGAATTGTTTTGGGAACGTTTAATTTACGTATGTTTATTAATTGTGTCTTCTGTAGGTCAGTTCTGGAAACTAATGTGATAATTCAATGTCTGCAAAATTTAATCCTACAGGATGGTAGATATATTGCTTGGAACGTTCCTTTTTGATTGTCAATTTATTTATTCACACTGAATGGCTTCAAACCACATGGTAAACTACATTAAAAACTCCAAAAGTAATATTCTTGTTGGTAGCCAAACGGTTTACTTTGCTCATTTTATTCGTCTATTGTGTTCTGTGTATCAATATATAGTCTGGAAGGTAGTCGACCAGCATCGCTACACAATCGTGTCTCGTAGAGGCAGAGTTTACTGTAGCCTCGCATAACGGAACGTCCGACCTTCGGGCAGGCTGGGATTTGTACCAGGCGAAATGTTATATAGTCGCATGTTGCGCGGCGCATAGCGAGTCGATAAGTAATTCGGAGGAGGTCAACAACCTTCGGTATCTCACGGTTGGATAAAGTCATCATCTTCGGATGAAATGGATGACCATTAGGTATCAAAGGAGTCTGTGAGGTTAATGATTGTAACTGGACTCAATATTGTTCGTAAATGATCCTGGGGAATCAGTAGGTCTAATTTGAATCAGGTATTCCTGGGTAGCTTAAAGAGTACTTACCTAACAATCAAAAGGTTGCCGCAATCTTTAGAAAATTCTGAAACTGTTTGATGTTTAAAATTGGATGGAGCTGTACTTGATTGGGCTTCTTATAAAGTGGTCCTGGATAAAACACATGTTCTAAGTATGTAATAACGCTGCACAAGATATCGCACTTCATCCACGTATTCCACCCAAAATAAGTGAATACGTCCGTTGTGTCCCCATCTCATGGTAATCCATCCAAATGTTTGTTTAAGCCTCCGCTTCTGTATTAATTCATACTTGTAGTTACCGTACCATGCCGCACATGATTTGGAACTATTTACTTATGTCTACCGCCAGGTGAGGTAAGGTACAGTCCACTCAAAAACGCGTTTAGGGAAATTGAAATTTGACCTATTGATCGATTAAATAATAAAATTTACGATTATTTAACGCTTTGTACGTCAAATTCGCCTTTCAATATATTACAGTTAAACAAAGTAATACAAAGTATATTAACAATAAACAGAACAATCGTGTACGCGAAACAGTAGCTATCGATATATTTTCTGCTGCAAGAATACCTTGCGGGGACTGTAGCGATGTACCAAGGGGGCGGAGGCGGGGGGACGTCGAGGAATGGTCCGAGGAACGGTACAGAACAAGTTGAACGCCCTTCGGAACCCAGACTCGCGCGATCCTCGAGCAAATAAAAGTCCTTGGGTTCGCAGGACCTCGGCAGCTCATCTCCTGTAGTGGGGGAGATGTATTTGAACGATCAGCAACAAGCACAAGAGGAAAATAGATCTGCTTCAGGAAAACAACAAATTAATAATTGGTTTACAAGTAGTCAGCATGTACTAGGTAAAAAAGATGTCTATTGTCTAATGCATACGTTAGATTGATCAGAAAGGAGTTTTAACAACATTATCTCAGTTAAGTTTGGCATACTTTTCACGTTGAACCCAGTGGTGATAGAAAATTAACTCCAAGATTTTAGAACTTTGCTGTCTTAGCGGTTATTGACGTTATATTTGCCATGAGCTATTGGAAAATGTATGATTTTGAAATATCGTAGACCAATATATCCTACATTTTTTATCGAACTTGAATTAATAATTGACAAAACCAAAACATTGTGCTTGATTGCAAGAAGTTTACGGATGTTAAAATATTGAACTAGTCATATGTTGCACCCTAAGGTTTTCTTGGTGAAGAGTCTAGGATAACCTCTTTATTTTCGTAGTCCTCTGTAAACGCTCGATATCCAAAAAGACCCGAAGCATCTTTATCTCACTCACCTCACACACAACCCATAGCTTTTGGAGCTCATCTCCCGCTGTTGGCACGATAATCTCCAGGATAAACACAATCTACGCGAATCTCCACCGGTCGATTAGAGATTAGAGCGAAGTGAGCTGTTAAGTAATAGTCGGTCGTCGCGTCGGATGTATTAATTATAATGGCGATCATATCGCGATAATTTGAGATAATAACAGGGGAATCACCGCAGACTGAGTGTGAAGGAAACTACAGCCTTCTTGCAAACTACGGCAAACCCTGACCTTGCTGAAAACATGCTATTGTTAGCATTCTCTAATCATATTTATTCTTATAGATCATATGTAAAAGTGTATATTATACGATTATTTTTATAATGATTGTTGGTGGATTGTTTAGGTTAACCAAGTTAAATTGAAAATAATAATATGCTACTCAGGCTATAGCAAATAACATCACCTTTTACGAAGAACGCAAAGAAATAATATTGGTTATTTAATTAAAAAGGGTTCTACACCATATAGCATTAGAATAGTCTGCCGCAATATTAAACGATTAAAACTGAATGCAGTTTACCTAAGTTAAATAACCTATAAATTCCAATAACAATCTACACTTTATACGAGTGTATGAGAATCTGACGATGTCTGTGTTTTACTCAATCACGTAAAATCTACTGGGCTTAAATATGTAAAGAATATAGCTAACATCCGTACTTAGGACTATTCCCGGTTCTAGACTTACCGAGGGCTTTATTCCTTTGGGTTTCAGAGTTCTCAAGGAGGCTTTTCAAATTAAATATTGAATGGTCTCCTTAGAAACAAAGAGAAAACGGTGTTAACAAGCAGAACTGTCAACCGAAACTACTTTACCATGTGTTAAGGAGGCTAATCATCGTCTACCCCAGAGGAGGCGACGCAAATATATGTCAACCCCATACGAAGAACGAATACTCTGCTAATACTTAAAACGATAAATGATCAACAATAAGTGCCCTCCTTAGAACCAAAACATTCTCCAGAAAAATCAGTAATATATTGACCATTTGCGAGACTACTCAACATCTACCTGACTATTCGGTTAGACCTTTAAAACACATTGACTTGGAGAAAATTACCAAAATAGAAAGGCAATCCTAAAGCGCCATTTCACAATGCAGAGGTTCTAAAAATAACCCCACTATTCAAACAGATGGTCAATATTCTTTGCAAGAAACACATTTTCACTTCGTCCTAGAACTACTAGCTACCCAAAAGACCATGGAAAACCGATGAATGGAAATACAGTATATTTTCCTGCCAAAACTGTTTCCACCTGAGTTTTTCCTTGTACCGCCAGGTGTGAGGTTATGTCAGTACAGATGTTTCAGAGAAAGTGGTCCTGGCACGGGCCCCAGAACAGCAGACTCTTGTAAATAAGCAGACCATGTGACAGACAGACAGACAGACTCCCAAAGTGAGGTAATTCTAGATACCGGCCAACGTACACTCCTTTTCTGGTGGTTCTCCTATAGCTGAACATGCGATGCGACGTATAAGGCGGTAATGAAATGTGTAGCTCTCTACAATAATGGTGAGTGAAAAATAAGTAGTCTCCTGGGTTTGTGGAAAAGGGCTGCTACTATAAAATTTGCCTAATAATGCAAATAAAGATGGTGTAACTAACTTAACGTCCCCTAACCTAACCTAACCTAGCCTAACATACCCTAAACTTACCTAACCCTACCTGGCCTAACCTAAGTTACCTAACCTAATCATATCATAAGCATGTTTACAAGTTTCAATAGTTGCAGCCCTCTTTTTGGTCGGACCCCTCGCCTTTTTGTAGTGGATTTTTCCTCAGTTTGAAAGAAACTGTTGGACAATTATTTGCTATTTCGTTTCCCATGCTTTGCTATTTGGAGCAAATATCACGCCTAAAGGTGTATTGTATTATTATCAGTTGGAATGCATGCTTTGGTTTCAATTCTGTTTCGACAATCGTAAGTTGTTTTTGATCTATGACTTCTATAAAATAACTAGCTGTACCCGCGGGCTTTGCCCCGTTTAACTTCATAAGTATTCGCATGGCTCAATCACGTCCCGGTTGAAGTTCGTTCGCTACGCTCACTCACCTTTAGGTTGGAGCTCGTTCGCTGCGCTCACTTGTTTTCAGGTTAGCTCGTTCGCTACGCTAACTCGCCTCCAGGTTGATGTTCGTTCGCTACGCTCACTCACCTTTTGATCGCAAATTACCTGTTGTCATTAATTTTAAAAAGTCATTCCTTTTATTGTTTATAATACTTTGATAAAGGTTTTTATGTTTTAATATTTAACATTGGAGAATTTAAACGTTGTTAAGTGCACAGGTGTGCTGCGATTGGGGTTTAATACATTTGGACTTATTCAAAAGTAAAATAGTTTTCTGTGCTGCACTCTGTAGAAACACTGTGGCACTATTTCAAATCATGACTAATGCTAATACAGAATGTTGTAATTATTCAAACCTACAAAACAGTTGGTAAAAGTAAACATCTGCTTTTAAATTATATTTATTTGTAAACATTGTAGATCAAAAAGTCTGACATTGGCCCACTTAAAACCCTCTGGGGCAGAGCCCTTTTGATAGATCTGCACCAAACTTCACTCGAACCATCCTTGAAAGATGCTTAATAATGCCTGAAAGTTTCATTACAATCTGTCGAGCGGTTTCGGAGTCCATAACGTATATACATACACACACACATACATAGTTCCTCTTTTATAGATATAGATATACCATTTTAAATTTGTAAGCCAATTACAACAATAAGAAAAGATCTGCATAACCATACTCTTCTAATTCTTTGAATTATTTTCCAAATAGTCGGGTGACGTAGTGATTTTTAGAAATGGCCCTGTTTGCATTGCATTGCCCTTAATGGTACGACAACAAGATTGGAATAACCGTACCTATTATTAAATCAATCAAGTCTTGGAAGTTAGAAGTGTTTCTGCGTAGACCGTTATCACCCAGTCGAGGCCTGAATTTAAAAGCAGACCATGAAATAACTGGAAGTGAATCATTGGCTAAAATAGCTGTTTCTTTAAACACTTTCAAATTAGTACATATTTCCTTTTGGGCCATCAGATACGCAGATTATTTTCATTAAATGTGTCTTACAATACCAAATTGATAAAAATCATAGTACAAACGTTAACAACTAAAAGAAAAGTCCGTTTGCAACAAATCTGCACATTACTGATTATGATTTAGTAAACGTATAAATTGTAAGCGAGTCTAAATACCGGACGCTGAAAAATGCCCATGGGCGAAGAAAACGACTGTTTAAACGGTACATTAGCACCAGACTCAACAAAACATCCTTTATCTAGGTGAATTATCAGGTAGCGGCGAAGGAACTGTGTTATTACACGGCAATTAGTGAGAAATACAACAATGGAATGAGTTTGGCACACCTTACTACATCTCAGTTGGAAATCCAGCGAGTCGAGGCTAGATGAAGCGATAGACCTGGTGACTCGGAAATTATTGCAGATACAAGAAGAAGAAGTTAACATAAATGCTCGAAAAGTGCGCACTGTTTTCTACCAACATGTTGTGAGTTTCATAGTAGGTAGGATAAGGACAAGAGCCATGATAGTTCAGATTGTAAAGTTTTGTGAAAAATACTTGTGCCAATGTTGTAAAAATGTGACATTTTAGAAATTATTTGTAGTCACATTTCCTTGAGATATCACGCAATATTAAATCGAATTATACAAGACCCTCCGTTCAATTTGCCTCTAGCTGTTTTGCATAACGTTAAGCTTGTCTTCAGGAAAGGTCGTCAACCTGGTTGAATTCCGGACATTTTTTCTTTTTTTTATTAAAATGAGAGAAACACAAGAAATCAGCGAACATAATTGGCACCTGACATGAAACACATCTCACCAAGCTTTACATTTTACAAAAGTAGAAGATACTTTTCTCCTTATCTCCATCCATGGCAACTGAAACCTCAAAAGGTTGTCGTCTTCACCAACGATTTGCATCAACACTCTTTATTTCCCTGCATTTTCTGTTGGAATTATATTCTATTGGCTTTTTGGATGCTTCGGTTAGATTGGGTAAGAGCTTGTTATGGGAGGATAGCATAAGACGGGAGAACTCTGTGTCTCACCAACAAATTATATCTACTTTCTTCAATTCTCTGCTTCTTCTCTTTGAATTATATTCTAGTGTGTTTTTTTTAATACTTCGGTTATGTTAGTGTGAAAAGACTCTGGATCTCACCAACAATTTACAACCACTCTTTCCCATTCCCTTTCATTTGGAATTATATTCTATTCGGTTGTTATTAACTCGGTTATGTTAGTTTAGGTTGAGATGGGGTTGACACTGAGTCCAGACATGCTACCCAAAGCTTATGCATGATTGATGGAAAGAACCACAGTTTATGTGAAGTTTGGTTCGCTTCCTTACGAAATTTCGTAAACCTATCATTTACGTTTAAAATGTACCTTTACATATTGACAACTTCCCATTCACATCAGCTTGATTTGCATAGGGAAAATTTCAATAGTCGCAGCCCTCTACTGGAAAAGACTACCTAGACGTAATCCTAAACACATATTACAGAAGTTACCCGTCAGCGGCGTCTCGTCTGCATCTGCAACAGTCGCCGACCGCATCAAGCGCATCTCCCCCAGAGCAACGTCCGCGTCCTAAAAAGACAATCGGCAACTCGTTCGCCTACGGCCCCCGTCGCGGCAGCCTGCTTCCCCTAGGCTAATCGCCCGACGGACTTTTACTGCGCAAAATATACTTTACGACATGAAGACTCGGGTTTAATTTATTAGTTTTAAGCTAATTACGCACTGCAGTTCTTGGAAGAGAGCTTTGTTTCGCCCACGATACGGTGAACAACCTAGCTCTAGGTTATAGGCTGTGAGGTGCATAGCTGTAGTTAGTTGAGTTAGGTACTACAAGATAGTTTGGGGGAGGGGGTAGAAAAATAGAGCTATTAAATATTTCTGCGATTTCACAGTTAGTTGTTAAGTTAAATATGTTAAGAAGAAGTTGTTGGAAAGGCGGACTTATTATATAAATATACCTTCGATTTTGGGGTTCTTTAGACTTTACGAATTCGTTAATCAGTTAATTGTATTGGACCTCAAATATTTATGTAGTAGGGAAGGCACAGTTATACCAAATAATAAATCAATTTCTTTGATTTCAGGGTTCTGTAGACTTCACAGACGAGGCAATTACTTGGTAAGTAAAATTTTATATTCATATAGTAGTTTGTGCAGGGTTTTTCCTGGACCTGTTGATCTGTAACCCAATGTTCTGCTGTTCATATTTTGTCATATTGACCGTTCATTTTCAGTTTCAGGGTAACACTTAATCTTAAATCAACAAATAGCCCCTTCAATTCATGTAACGAACGCTAAAGACTACAACTTTCCCGTAAAATATCTTTTAAGAGTTTTTATTTCAGCGCTACAAAGCTGGTGTCACAGTCACATTGTTGCTTTTTATTTTTTTACTGGTATTTTTTTTTTTTACAAATCTTTCTAGCATCACACTATAACATACAAGCAAAGCACCCTACGAGTTCATTGAAAATCTAACTTACCAAACATAAACTATTTTAAATCTTGGTAACACTTCTTTGCTTCGACGTCTATAACAATATTGATACATGACCTAAGCAAAAGCCAAATACCGTTTCCCACGCCAATCTTTCGAGTTTTATGGCCAAAATTACTTAATAACACTGCGAATCGTTATTAACATTCCATGCATGCAGTGTACGGCTATATTAATTATGTAAAACACGAACAAAAGGCAACCGTTACACTTCCCCTCCCACCTATTTGTACCTCGGTAGATGGGAAGGCGGGGTTGGCCACCGTGATCGCGGCAAATGATTTAATCATTTTATGTAAGGTTGGTAGGGGTGGTGGCGTATGGACATTTACAACAATGTAGGATATTGCACAATATGTTCCGATAGAAGTAGAATTGTAACAGTTGTTTATAAGTAATTTTGGATTTCATCTTCTTCTCCTTTATTTAACTTTGAAATCCCCACCACGTGCTTATGTTAATAAACTGTTTTAGCGAATATTTTTCTCATCCAATCATCGATAAACAACCAAATAGTTTCAGAGTACAATATTTTTACGCTTGGTGCGTCGGTGAGTTAAACGCCGTACACATTTTTGGTTTCGTGCCAAGATCTAAGCCCTGCAGTCAAAACGGGACTGACAACACCTTATATACAATCACAAAATTATGCATGCAAAATGAAGCCGTATCAATCAACCTGACAGTTTGAAGCTTCATGGATGAAGGTCAGTTCACCTGCAAGATAAACAAGTCTTGCGTTGCTCAAGTCGAATCTCAGTAGGGATAGGGTAGCCTAGTCCAAATTTAGAATGGTCCATAGTTTCTAGCCTTTTAATAGCTGGTGAGGTATGGACATTTGTGTAGCCTACATTTTCAACTATAGCTTTGACGTTCAGCTGCGTTTATTTTTGACGTGTCTAACAGCAGGCTTCATCGCGAAATGAAGAAGTAAGCACAACGATTATATACTGTATGTAACCTTACCTAATCACTTAATTCAATAAAACCTAGAAACTTAAAGAGGGAAGCTCTGCAAAAAATAGTGGAGTACCTACGTCTTCTATGGGTCCAAGAGATTTCTCACATAACTCATTAGCTCAATACACCCTTGACTAAAGACGTTTTTGATGATTTCAACCCCAATATCCTTTTGTTCAATCAAGTTTTCTATTAGCTCAAGCCCAACATTATGTTTATATGCGGTATGATGGGACCTGTCTTCAGACCCTCCGTCGACCTGGGACTGGCATGGCCAATCCCAAGGCAGAGGGACAGGAGACAGGCTCCATCATACAGAATATAGTAGTTTTTCGTGTGAATCTCCTTGAAACGCCCTACGCGACCAACGGTACAGAAAGAGGCACGTGCTTTGTACGCCTCAAGAGATTATTCACACAAGAGCTCATCAGTGCCTAATGTCAGACATCTCTGTGTTTTGTTGACCATCTCTTGATTGCCCTCTCCGGACCACCATTGTCATCTGATCGTTAGACTCACGGGTTAATCTGTCCGGAAACATAAGCGATGACGAGCATTTCCTCGTGGCCTTGGAAGGTCAACTAATGGTTGAGTTTCTTTCTATTTTCTTTTTGTCCACCCTTGATTACACTGGTTCGTGAACATGGTGGACATGAATCCTACAACTGTCTACCCTTCCTAGTACCCGAGTACGAACTTTATAAAACTTTCGAGGCAAGGCATAAAATCTGAACTCGTACTTTTTGGGACTTTTAACCCCAGAATTACTTAGTCAAATGTTAGGTTTTGTCACGGTCAAGAAACTAACTCGGCTCACCGAGTTTTAATTTTTCCTGTACTACCCTCCCAACCTAGCCGAAATTCGTGTTCATCGGGGCATCTTTTACCCTTTTCCTGGTCTTAAAATTTGGAACGCTGTCCACCTCGAACTTGGCCCATGCAGGTATTAACTGAAACATTGTTATACGTCCCCCTTTAAGCTTTACATTATTTTGCACTGTCACGTTGAGTATATTAATTTAACCTCTTTACAATAAGATAATAAATATAGATCAACACCGGATTCATATTGTTCTCACCCACTTACTACATACCGATTCATAAACAAACTTTGGGACCGAAATTTACCTATCATAATTTCGCTTATCTATCAACTTGAGAGAAAACACATGTTGAAAGCTGCCGTAAATACTCCCGTGTAGTTTTACTTATATATTCCAGTCAATAGTTAAGCATTAGTCCATCTACTTACCGACTTAAAATCATTAGACCCAATACACTACTGCTTGGCCTACGATTTTATAGCTACACACTAAAATTATCCTAAAAAAATAGAGAAATGTTAAGTCGGCATAAACTCATCAAAATAAGCTTCAGATTTTACATGATGAAAAGTATACTTTCAACACAACCACCAACCAATGATTTAACCAACCACCCTCTGATAGTTTTATCAGACCCATCTATCAATCCTCGACCCAACCACCATGAAACTACACGAGTCATACACGCACAATTACCTGCCAAAGTTTACAGAATCGGCCTAGTTAAACGGACCAGTGCTTCAGTGTCTAATTATCCGCTAGCCACAAATGATCGCAGCCATCTCTTGGCCAGTCAATGAAGACTAGCGTTGCTGCCGGGCTTGCAGTGCTGCAGACTTCTGCTATTGACCTTTCTACCGCGTATCTCAACTACTGCCGCTCTGTAATTGGTTGATGACACTTTTATGCAAATCAACTCTGCTCTAACGGATCGACTCCCGCACTGGGAACCAGCTACCGGGGCAACACCTTCATGCATAATCCCGTCTTCCTCGGGCAGTCGCGTAACGGCCTCAACTAGATCATGATTGAAGTATTTGACGTTATAAATGTCACAATTTTGTGTTACTTGTGTGAAACTTGACATGTTCAAATACTTTAATGAAGATGTATAAACAAATACAGTGTGGATACCCTTTTAGTTAATGTGATAAGGTGTTGTCTATGACTATGGGATCCATTACTAGACGAAAGATTAGTTTAAAATCCTGTATTACTTACAGTTCGGTCTGCGAGGTTTTGAATTGTAATAGTATTATCATTTTTTAAATAGCATTATTGAACATATTCTGAAATTGGCACCGAGACTAAAACAAACGGAAATTATTTTGGTATAAGATTACCATCTAAACGAGTAGTATATTATTGGGTAAACTTATTTAATCATTGGGGTTGACTTGTAGTTTTTCTTGATTATATTTTCAACTAGAGTACGATTACATTATTCTATAAAGACGAAGCATTAATATATAAGTAATTTAAATTATTAATAAAAATCAGGGAAGTAAAGTTAAAACTACTTGATTTGAAAATTTTCGTTACATTGGTTTATTGGTTGCATTTTAAGTCTTGTTAGCCATTCTGATTCCATGGTATTTATTTAGTTACAATACACACTGTGTCCTATAACTATAATACAATAGAAATGCCCATACATGACTAAAATATCATTAGGCGCACTGACACTCACCCCCACAATAGCAAGGATTAATACTTTTATATTATTTATAACAATAAATGTCCATGTGTCAACTTCCCTACCGCAGAAACCACATTCATTTGCTGTTTCCTTTTATTGAAAATGTTCGTTTGCCAAATACCAAATCAAACTTGTTTCCTTATACGCCAAACGTAATAAGGTCAAGAACGTACTTCCATAAAGCGAGTAAATTGATTTATACTTTAATAATACCATCCGGCTGTGTACAACTAAATAGTTCAAGGTGTTCTGGTGAACAAAAGGCGAACATGTCGCAAAAACTTGAGAAGAAAACGTTGGTTCTGTTAAGCGCTTAAATGACGCGTGATACGCTCAATAACTTTAAGAATATGAATATCTTAACACACTTGTTTGACATTTAAGTACAAAAGGTAATTTTGATGATAAGTATTTTTTTTGTATTTTTCATTTCAAAATAATAATACTTCGATATAAATACAAATTTAAACTAATCAGATATCTTTGTCTTTAATATTCCTTCTCGTCAGTTATAACCCCCTACAACAGATTTTTAATTTCTTTTTAGTGAATTTCCCATATAGGGAATAAGCTAGTTTTATAGCTTGCTCTTCAATACATCTTGATTTGCTGTTTTTCCCCTTTTTTACCTTTTAGCAAATTACCCATATAGGGAATAAGCTATTACCGTAAGACTCATGGTGGGTAACTCATGGTAAGACCTGAACCCGGGACCGGTTAACTTTTTCCTTTTGAGGTCCCCAGAGGCCAAAAACACCCTCTGTTATAGAATACCAAGTCAATAAAAATACTCTTCAAAAATTGTGACATGAAGAGTCATAAAAGCACATATTGTATACGGACATTGAACAAAAATGTGGCCAACCATTGACAACACCATAACACGTCCGTGATTGACTATTTTTAAATTCCCTTCGTAATTTCCCACGGTTTTCAAGAAGATGCCACCACTCTTTTACAGTGCGCTTGTTAGGCAGTTCGGTTTGGTTTAGCTCATGGTAATGTTAAACCGGGCAACACCAACAACATTTTTTATTCAACTTATGTAAAGGGACACGAACTAAACTAATCCAAATATAACGTAACCAAATCCATCCTAATCGTCTCAGCGCACTGAAAAAAGGGGAACGGTTCTCGTA